CAGACGTACCCTAATGTGGACTTTCATCTCTGTTATCAAAGTGATCTGATTTGCCGTGACTAACAGCAGCTATTTCTAGAGATTCAAATTACTTTTGACAAAGCACTTTTTGGTCATAGCGCAAATACATCAAGTCTCCAAATTAATGATGAGAATAATCTGACTTGAAGAGATTTAACCATTTAAACTGTGAGTTTTGCTTGTGCTTGCAACTCGGTTGTTAAAAAGAGTGCCCCTGCTTTGTGCATCTCAACATTGCTTTTGAATCCGATCGTAAGACCTGCCTCTACTGGGGGCCAACTGTCTTTTGGATATGCATGTCTTACCTCGTTTAATCCACACAATTATGGTTGTACTGTATATTTACATGTCTGCACTTGCCAACTGGTTTTCATGTAATTCATGTTGACTTCTTACAGGAGCCTGGGTGGTATAGGGCTTTGAAGCAGCGACCATAAACCAGGTCATCTGTCTGTGCCTTGCTCGGGACTTTGCATGTCATTCCCCATTTTTCTCTTTGCTGTCGTCTCCATAATAAAGGCATTAAATGCTAAAAGTTAAAATCATGCAGCGCACTATCATTACCTCCTCTTAGGATGCATGCAAAAATGTCCACCTATTCTTCAGTGATTACAATCTAATGTACCCACTGACCTCTTCAACTCCTGATATTTTTGCAGTCTTTGAATGTGAGGAGATGCCTGGTAAGCCTCTGAGGAGGTCAAACACAGAAATTATCTTACCGGCAGTTATTGCGTTGGCACCAGTGAGCTCCCCATTGAAGCCATTCTCTCTGGCTGAGTAGGAGGATGTGGCCAAGTGGGCGCCACCAGCCTGGCAGGTCCTGTACGCTGAGGAAGAGTAGCCATTGGCTCCGTGAGTGCCAGCAGGCTCCTGTCCTCTTGATGGGTCCCACTGGGGGGCACCGTCTTCTGGCTGTCGACTGTCTGCCATGCTAGAGCTAGCTAGCAGCAGGGGAGGGTGGGCGAGGGATGGGGTCTCTCCTTCTGGCTAAGAGATGGGAAGAAGAGGCAAAGGGAGGAGAGAAGGCGAGGCACGATCAAAACCTGGCATGTTATTCTTATTAACAGTAATGTTTGCAAGGTTTCACAGAGGAGACTGAACACTTTGCAGACCAGAGGGGACTTCAGGACACGCAGCATCAATCACATTCACAAATCTTTTTTGTCAGTCAGTCAGTCAGTCTGCTGCACCTCCACTCAGCTTCCCTGTCAACAACTCTGAAAGCACATCTGTGCTTATGTGACTTTGTGTGTAGGTGGATGTATTAGAAATATTGCCCTTGGATGTAGGCAGGCAGGTGACAGCCACTGGATGAAATCCTATTGATTTGTGAGTGTAATGACTCATATAGCCAGAAGCCCAGGTAGAAATCACAACTGAATAAAAAAGTGAACAGCAGACCTTGGATTGCATGACTCAGGCTTGTGGGGATGGTAGGTGGGCTCTGATCAAGTCTGATGTTAGACAAATAGTTAGAATTAGATAAACATTGTGGCATATTGTGTAATTTAACTTGATAATCCCACAGCAAAGACACAATATTACAAAATAGTATTGTATTGACCAGCACCATGCAAAAGCTAATACCATACAACCAGCAATCAGGTTTCCATCCAAATGTATCACTAATGTTAACAAATCTTTCAGAAAGTCAAAGTTGGTTGAACAAAATAAGCAGTAGGTGACCTCATGTGTGCACTCAGATGCCATACAATATCACTGCAGAAGAAGAAGGCACAACGAGATGATGTGATTAAAACTGAGTCAATCATACCTCATATAAAGCAAAAAAACAGAAGGTATAAATGTGATGGAAAGCCTGGTGACAGAGAGCTCACAATGTTTGTTTCTTGTATTAATTCACGGAAAGTCTCATTTCCTCATAGGTCCACACAGTCCTGATGTTTCCGTCTGCCTCTCTTCTCATTTCCCCCAAAACAGAGCCTTGAGTGACATTTAATTCATGTGATTTCTGTGCATCATAATTTATTCACTGAATCCATTTCAATTGCACTTTCGCCATTTCTCAAAAAGCAAACTTTCTAACTGTAAAAAACTTCAAGATTTCACACTCAGGTTTTTATAACGTGCAAATTGAAAAGGTTCAAGCTGCTGGATGGAAACACACCTGCTGTCGGGATAACATGTGTATAAAAACCCATGCTGAGTATATGTGACTGATCAGAAACATGAGGAGAGGAGCTCAAACACCTACAATAGTTACATTATTGATCAGCCCACATGATCACTTGAGGCATGAGAGGCAGCAAGATTTAATGATCTCTTGAAGGATACTGTGCAGATGGTGGGGGGTGATTAATGGGTTTAATGTAGCCTTGAGATCAATACAAAGGGGTGTGTATGATCAGTCCTTAACTCAGTCTATATGCTGTGGATAACTGAGTTGCTAATGAGTCTATTGGCCATTTTGATTATGTTTTATTGTATGTACTTCCTCTTTCTTCCAAAACACAGGGATATTAACACACAATGCTAATTTGTGGCTGTTTCAGTCACACTATAACATCAGTATTGGCTTTTAATCTCCCAAATCAATATAGTCCTTGTGTGAAAGGGCACGAGGAGAGATAAACAAAGGGTTGAGTGGGAAAAGGACAATCGTGAGCACACACGCAAACACTAACTGAAGGAAATGCTCTGTGAGGGATTTCATTTTTACAGGAGGGTTGTGGCCGTTTGTACTCCAAGCATGAGCCGAGCAGCCTACGTGGTTGTGTATAAGGGTATGTGTGAGAGAGCAATTTGTCATTTAGCTCTGCAGTCCACAGAGACCCAGAGACTAAAAGGAAGTCTGCTGGAGAAAACAGGAGTCAATAACTGCAGCCTATAAGACTGAGGTAGTGCTACAGTGAGCACTAGTCACTGCATACCCACCCAATAGCTTCAATATACTGCTCACTGTCTGCACACAAAGAACAAAACAGGAAAGAATTGTAATAAAGTCTAGAATAGTGATTTTCAACCAGATGCCTTTGTGCGTAGAGTGAGGAGTAAATATGTGGAAAGATTGAAAATATATATATATAAAAAATAGTTAGGCCTTCATTTAGTATAGCTATTGTTAAAATCTGCATGTCTCTGGACTGTGAGACGTAGCTGAAGTATACCTGGAGAAAGCCCACCCAGACACAAGGTAAATATGAAGACTCCACACAGAAAGACTGCACGCAAACCACAAACCTTCTTTGTACACAAACTGGTAGAAATGTTACTAAAATGGTGACACCAATCCTAAACATAACAAAACAGTTGTATATGTTCTTGGTGATGAACCCAAATAAATAAAAAATGCTACAAAAATGACCAAAGACATGGGGATCCATTCATTCATAACTCTACATGTGTTTACATGTGCGGAGTCAAGCTTTGCATGACTCAGCTTTGAAGGGAACATCAGTGTGAATGAAGCCTGTACAGAGACTCCGCAGCACAGCCTCTTTACCAAGTACTCTTTCAGTCTCATTCCAAAAAAGCCACAGCAGTATATTTAAGATCGTCCCTTCACTGTCACTGTCTCTTCTGTTTCCTGTTCACCTACTGAGCCCCTGCTCCATGAAGAACACTCTCGATATTAAAAGTCATAAAATAGAGGGAAGAGCCTTCTGTCCTGGTGCTGCGTCTCAGTGCTCTCTGTCTGATGATGAAGGTCACTTTAACCTCTGTGGCTGATATCCACACCCAACAACACCACCCTGACTGGTGGGCAGGCTCTGGGTGACAGTGGCGGGGAAGGAGGAGGGAAGACATTGTTGCCTGGCTTACTGGAGGCCTGTCAAGCTGCCAATGACAATGTTTAGTGTAGTCTGTATGTTTGTGAATAAGGGTGTGCGGCATGTGTAAATGAAACAGCACCACCTGCTGGGCCAAAGCATGAAAGAATAAATTGGGACTATTACAATTCATTATACAAACTGCATGCTAGGGCTTGAGATTAGGGAGGCATTAGAAAACACTATGATGTGAAACTGCACCTCTATCATCAGCATAAAGCGTAATCCGGGGCTGCAATGCAGTACTATGTCTCATCCCTGCTCATTAAGATGCATTGTATTAGGTCTCACTACATACTGCAGTGTACTGTATGATGTGGAAAATGTAATGGAATGTAATTAACAGTGAGTAGCAAGGAGACAGGTGCAGAGGGTTAACGAGAGAGAGAGAGGGGCGGGGGGGTAAAAAGGGTTGATTAAGTCACAAAATGTAAAAAAAAGGTGAGTACAAAAGATTGTGGATCACAGGATCCAAGACAGTATGTGTTGCCCAGATGATATACTGTCCTCTAGGCATCATGTCCAGTGGGGAGTGACTGTATGAGCTGGTGATGTGACAGAGTTAGACATCAGGCACCTCAGTGGACAGCAGGTCTGTTGCACTTGGCGTAAAGCCTGTGGCGCTTTGCCAGAGGGATACTGGGTCTCTCCCTGCACCATGCACAGAATGGAGCTGAATATAGAGCAGACCACAGGACAACTGGACACTTGCAATAGTAACATGTTCTGTCATCCTCAAGATGAAACAGGATTCGTAATCAAATGCAATAGGAAGATTGTTTAAACTCACCAACCAGTTTATAATGCACCTCTTGGAAAACATATACATCATGCAATCATCGAATGATGTGGCAGTACTGCATAAAATCATACAGATACCGGTCCAGAGCTTCACTTAACACTCGTAAAAATATAAGATATCATGACCATGACCTGATTGATGGTGCCATACAGACTGTTCCTGAAACTGCTGATCTCATGGGATTTTTATGTACAGCACTCTCTGGAGTTACTTATAATGGTACACAACACAAAAACATCCGGTGAGCAGCAGTTTTGTGAACACAAATGTCTTGAGAGAGGTTAGAGGAGAATGGCTGGACTGGTTGAAGCTTACAGAAAGGCTTCAGTAACTCAGATAACCACTCTTGACAAGTGTAGTAAGCAGGAAAACATCACACATCAAACAGGTGCATGACATCGAGGTTCCACTCCTGTCAGCCAGACAACAGAAATCTAAGGCTACAGTGGTAATCACAGACTCACCAACATTGGAGGGATATAGACCAGAAACATTCAGCCTGGTCTGCTGAATGTGGATTTCTGCTGATTTCTGCAGATGGTAGAGTTCGAGCACCCAACTTGCCTTGTGTCAACACTCCCAGCTGCAGGTGCTGGTTTTATGGTGCAGGGAATGTTTTCTTTACAAACTTTGGATCCTTAAAACCAATCAACCATTGTTTGCATGCCACAACCTATCTGAGTCATGTTGCTTAAATCAAAAGTCGTCCCTAAACTAGGTTCATGAACACAATGAGTGAACTTCAGTGGCCTCCCCAGTCACACCCTCTGAATCTAGTAGACACATCTGGGATGTAGTAGAACAGGAGACTGGCAGCTTGAATGTAATGCTATCATGTCAACATCAAGCAGAATCTCAAATGAATGTTTCTGACCTCTTGTAGAATCCATGCTACAAGAACTGAGGGTGTTTTGAGAGAAGTTAGGGAGTGTTAGTATGGTGAATGTATAATGAAAGCTGTTTTTCTGTGAGCTATGTTTTCCTGGTATCAACACAATATTATACTTGAAGAAAGAAAGTGAAATGATATTACTGCGTAATTGTAATAATCAACATAGTATTCAAAACATTCAGAGCTGTATTTAAACAAATGAATCCAGAAATCAAGTAGAACTTTGTTAAGGAAGCAGAATTATCTTTAAGATATATTTATATTTTTTCTTAATAAATAATGATTCTGATGTTTGTTTTTCCCACCAGGCTATATGCAGGGTATTCAACAAGAGCCATTCAACCTGGTTGCTAGGCAACATGTCCAGTATGTATGAATGAACCCAAACTGTGATTATAGCTTCATATTTTAATTTACAGTGCACGTTAATGATTAATACTTACATCATAATGTCAATCTAAGTATCCCTCATATTTCCATGTACTCTGGCATGTACTGCAGC